TTCACTATTACAATTTTACAATAGGTCGAACTTATTTAATTCACTGCTCTTGTATTTATTCTCGAATATTTGTTCTGCTCGATTCGGATCTCAAAAACGGACTGCCTGATCTCTAGTTCAATGATCAATAATCAAACCTCGGCTTAAGAGATTTTATCCCCAAAAATTGATAAAGAGAATGACTCAAGAGAGTCGGAAAATAGGATGATGCAATTTGCCAATTAAATTCGAAGTCCAATCTTGGCCGGAAATTGGTGTTTACATTAGCGGAGTTTAGGGACCGCTTTGGGGATCTTTTTGTTTACGTTAGCGGACTCGGGACTCGCTTTGGGGATCTTTTGTTTACGTTAGCGGACTCAGGGCTCGCTTGGGTCTCCGATTGTTTACAATATCGGTTTGGATGTTTACAGCATCCGTTTGATTCGGACTGCGTGAAATTGATCTGGGTGGGAATGATTTGGAGGCCTGCTTGGCAGAAATAGCTGACCACGGATTTATCTCGGGTCTGTCAGAGTTCTTTGGAAATTAGCTCTCGGCTCAAAGTTGTTTATAAATTGGGTAAGAGCCCCTAAATAATGTGTCATATAACTTGCATGCCTTGTATGTGTCTGCACTAAGGCCATGGGAATATGCTGACACTAGCATAAGTATCATAAGTTGGGCTCTGAGGCGTATTCATATTTCGGCTGGCCGCAAAAGTTTAGCGGCCAGCACTTTTGTATTTGTTTAAGTACACTGTAACACAATGTTGGTGTCGGTACAGTGGGTACTCGCTACAATGATACATGCATACTACAACACATAAATCTTGCTTAAGAGCAAAGTGAGACACATAAGTATAACCCACAACCGGGAAGATCTGCTAAATACATTACAAGATGTAGTCGAGTACCTCGATTATCAGATACCCGTTACTCAGCTACAGGGACCAAGGGGAATTGGAGATATGCAAGTAGTAAAGCGAGATTGAAATGCGCCACCTACACGCGATCTCAATATACGGTTATGTGGGTGGTAGACAGATTTAGGCGTTATGGGCGAGTGGGCGAGGCAAACTTCCGCGTTCATACTTACGATTTTTTAAAGTTTGTGGGCGTTAAAGTGGGCGTGGAAAAGCTTTTTTGGGTCAATCGATAGGTATTGATGGGAACAATACATTTCAGTTAACATTTTTATTCTAACATCAAAACTGTAGGAGCCACAGTTTTGGGCGGCTTGTGGACGTTTGAGTGGACGTGGCACCCTGCTAAAACTTGCGCTGCGCAAGAAGCTCAGGAAGCTGTATGCCAAATCCCAATAGCTGAGCTCTTATAGTTTCCGAGATCTCAGCGTTCATACGGACAGACGGACATGGCTGCATTGACTCTTTATGGGGTCGGAAACGCTTCCTTCTGCCTGTTACATATTTTCCGACGAATCTATTATACCCTTTTACTCTACGAGTAACGGGTATAAATATAAAATATTCGTCCTTTATATTCTTTTATATTTTTTAGGCTAGGAAAATACATTTTAATTTGGGCACTAACGGCTGTTAGAACGGACGCGACAGTAAAACTGAATGACTATACGAACGCGGACTACATCCCAATAGAGGGCGGTGACATTGTAGTCTGGAAATCTTGCGGATACCTACAACACGCAACAAACATGAAGACCTACGAAGACCACGCTGATCAGACTGAAACGTTGACAAGGACGTTCACCGACGACCACAGGATACCGGTTATATCGACGGACCTCAGACACATTCGCAAGTTGGTAGCTACCCTAAAAATCCACCATAGGGCCGCTAGGAGTATTAACTTAATTGAGACAGCTTTAAGGGTAATTTTAGGCACACCCGACTTTAATGATTGGGAGCAATCAAAATTCAATTATGAGCAACTAATGAGAACAGATGAAGGACAAACGGAACTAAATATCAATTTTCAGGAACGTTTGAACGAACTCGCGAACGCAATGAATCAAATTCAAAAACTTTACACCTATAAAAAAACGCACCTTTTGGAAATCATTTTAGCTAAAAATAGTATCGTCATCACAGATTTGGAAAATATTCTAATGGGCTTAACCCTAGCAAAATTAAATATTGTAAGCCCAGCACTTCTAGATAGCTACATTGGCGAATTTAAGGACAGGCCAGCCTACTAACATAAGTTTGATAGAAAAAAATTTAAAATTCCGATATCCTCCATATTTTTATTAAATTCCCTAGTTCTAAACATGTATGTAAAAAAAAAACACTCTATACGGTCCAGCACTACAACAAGATCGTGGACTTCGACAACCGGAAACCTAGTCGCTGAGTGCCCAGTAGTAGTAGATCACGGCACCCTCATTGTGAATGAGGCCAACATGACCATAACCAATGACCAAGGACGGGACCAAAAAATATCTGGAAGCTACCTGGTAACATATTCCGACAAAATTAGCCTCAACGGGACTTGGTTCGTAAATCAACTGGGAAGCTCAATGAAAAAACCTGCGGTGTCAGCTATGACCGTGGTCAACCTCCCGACTCACCAAAACCGATTAAGTCTTCCATTTCTTCACGAGCTTAGTCTGAGCAGTCTCCACCACATTGGGACCCTTAGAAAAAAAACTTACCACGGGTGTCTTCCTCAGCTACTCCTTCGCCCTACTCGCCTCCTTCCTATTGTGCTCTACAGTTTGGCTCGGCTACCACGTTCTAAGGACCAGAAGACACGACAACCCAAGAACTAACGGTGACGTAGAATTAGCAGGTCACCGGGACGGCGACCACTTAAAAGAGGGAGGAGTTAACACACCCGTTTCCCATGAGGAGAAATTGTCGAGTTGAAGGCCATACCCGGTGGCCAACACGCGCAGTGAGGAAACTACCGACTCCACACTCTGGGGGCCATCGGCCGGAGTCCGACCAAAAGCACTCACGCAGCAAGTGATCGTCGCTGGCCAGGTACTAGGTGCTGACCCGGCGCTTTAGCGGCTGCGCTGGGAACACTCGCTCAGCGAACGATCGCCGGATACCAACTGCTGACCATGCACTCTTACGGCAGCGCTGCGACCAGGCAAAGGCCGCAAGCTGTGGCCGGTTCAGACCCTTCAGTTAGTTAAAAATTGTACTCCGCAGCCATAGCTGTGTTTGAAGAAATATTTGTAATTTATCCCTATATTACCCTTTGCCTTAACAGGCTTAGGAACTTTCTTATTGAACTTTGCCTAAACAGGCTTGGATAAATAAACAAAAAATAATAATAAAATAATCAGAAACAACTAATACAACACGGTCCGAAATAACTTGTATGTATACTAAATATTCTTCACCATAAATAAATAAATATCTGGCGATATTTGAGTGTTTGAAAAACCAAACTTGAATCCTTTTATTGAACATGTTCATTTTATATAAAATGCACACATCATATTCATCAAACCACTAAAAATTGGTTTATGCATTCTTCTTTTTATTGTTATTAAAAAACTTTTTTAATATCCTTGATATGTATTTAAACCACATTAGAAATTATATCTGAAAGATCAATTTCTTTCTTAAGTCCTAATCGGTACATATAAAACAAAATAAAAAAAACCAGCTATAAAAACCAATTTAAAATAACCAAAATATGGTAAAACAAAACTATATAAAGATATTATATAGGATCTTTTTTTTTTAATATTTTTGAAATAATCAATTAAAATGCAGTTGATAAATATAATAGTAAAATAAAAAGGACTGGAAAGAGGAAAATATTTATATGTGGGCATTTTCACGGGTCGCGAACGTACGTTCGTACGCACTTAGTGCAAATAAAAAAAAGAAAACAAACGTTTTCTGAATTTTTTGTTGCTATTCGATAGCATTTTGTTAGCTCTTTGATGATGGGGTTTATAATGGGGTTTATTGAGCTATAATTTTCATGTTGGCAAAAAAATGCGGTCGCAAACGTACGCAAAATGGAAGTCGACTTCGGCTTAAACTAGGAAAATGCAAAAATCTGCGAATTGGGACAGAATTTTCTAAAGCAATAACTTTATTTTCAAAATGGATTCATGTAGCTTGGTTTTTTTTTATTGAATTAAGTATGTCGTTTCTATGTCGTTTTATTAACAGTTAATTGCAAATTTGTTCGCCCTCTCTGGATATTATCTTCTTATTAGATTGAAATAAAGAGATTTGGTAGAAAAAGTGCAAGCAAATCATATGTTTTCTTTGCGAAATAATTAATCATATAAATGCCTTTAAAAGTAGCTGAAAATAACAAAATTTTAAGGGAAATTTCTTCAACAAAACAAATGAAATATGCTATGGTTCCACTGTATTATGAAAATATGGTCACTTATTTGTGAAAATACACAAAAAATACAAAAAATTCCTCAGCATAATGTCAAAATCGACGAATGAGCCAACAATTTAATTTTATCGAGCAAGTGAAAGAAGTAACAGCACTCTAAAAATAGGTTCCTATTTGAAAATTAAAGTTTTAATTTTAAACAACGAAATATCATTAAATTAATTAAATGTCGGAAACGACTCATTCAGTGCGTTGCAAACTTCTGCCTGAAAAAAGCTCCCTATCCCTATCATTTTCTCTCTCTGTAATGCTTTGCCTATCATACTATATCTGAGGCCGCATCATAAGGAGCCACAAAAATAAAAACCTTTTGTTCGAGCCCTTATGTTCTTATCCACACCGGACTCTCAATAGATGAGCGATGGATGGTTTCCTTCGTAACGAGCGTTCAGAAAGGGATCGATTCGTGTCTTATGGTCTACCTAAAACCCAAGACCGAGATCACAAACAATACGAGAATACGGGTTTTTGCTCAGACCCTAAGTGATTGAATAATATTTTTTACATAGTCTTTTGACTGAGCAGACCGATTAGGAAAACCATATCTAATGTGTGCCAGAGAAAGCAGATAGTCGGTCAATACGACATTGTTGAAAAAAAAGGGAAACTAGAACGTTTGAAGACCAAAATGCAGTGTTTGCGGCGAATCGAAACTGCAAAAAATGAAAAAATTAACAATTTATTTCTGAACCATTATAAAAATCTTTCATATCCTATATTTATTGCTCCGAATTGAGTAAAATGTTCTTACGATAACATGTAAGACTGCATAAGGGAACTTTTGTGGTTGAGCAGCTGTAAGCTTTGCGATTTCCACAACCGCTAACATGGCATAACTGCGAGACAGGCGGTGCGCGATGTAAATGTGCCATTAGTGGAAAGTCCTGGCCTGGAGGAATTATTATGGTGTTACCTTGTGGAGCGCTTATATAGGTTACTTTTGGATATGAGGACTTATGAAACTTCCTGTTACGAACCAAAGGTCGATGTTTGTTAGTTTCCTGTTTTTTTAATAAGCGATCCATTGTTTTTTGTTTATCTTTTTCTCGCCGTGCATTAGCTTGCTGTTTTCGCTTCTGTGATTTGAGTACAGCCTTCTGAATTTCCTCGGCCGTTTGGGGCTTTTCCTTTTCTTTATAGCCACTTGGAAGAGCAAAAAGCTCTTCAACAAAGCCATCAGTTCGTTCATACATAGCACGTTGACGAACTGTCATTAGTTTGGGGTCTTTTATTTTCTTCAATTCATAATCAACATTGTCCAGTTTTCCAGTTTCTATGGCAGTAAGCCAACGTTCTTCATCACTGGAAGTTTCGCTATTGTGTCGCCTTTTAACTTTCTTTGCAACAGCGTTGGGGGAAGGAGTAACATGTGCCGACTTTTTAGAGTAAATATTTCTTGAGCGTATGAACGGTAGTTCGAGCATATGGCTGGCTTGTAACTCTGCGGTATCGTAATGCCCCTTTGACGGCGCAAAATTCGACATCAAAAATGATTATAGTTTATAAAAGTGATGCTTGGACGATTAAAAAATTGTGTTTTCAAAATTTACTACCTTTTTTCTTCATTTATTTCACTTAAATTCATTGAATGTTTAAGGCAGTGTGACCGCCACATGGAAAATAATAAATATGTACTTTAAATCATCGAGGCGCTTAAGTAATAGCCCCTGCACACACCCGCTTTAAAATCGCCGTTGCAACTTTAAACAGATTCCTGTTCCTATAGAGAATCGCTGAAGCGAAAAGATCAGATCGATTGCTGGGTTCCGAGACGTTGGGAGTCACCTTGGGTCTGCACCAATCACAATTACCTTGTAACCGCGCCATTGCAGTTCAATTGAATTTCCGCCTCTAAAAAATCCCGAAACGGTAAGTACAAAAATCATTTCAACTTTTACAGAAAATTCTGAACAAGACACTGGAATACTGAATCGATTTTCGTGTGCGTTCCCATTTTTCGCTTCAGAGAGTTGTACCGACTTTTTGCCGTCTCTTTTCAATACGTGTCTTTCATATGAAGGAAAAGTCGCTGAAGCGGAATTTGGTCGCTAATGCAAAAACCCCCACTGTCTGAATAGGGTATAACACACATTAGTTTAAAATTGCTGTTGCACTTTTAAGCGGATTCTTGCTTACATATACTGCGTTTATGCGATGGCCATTTCTCGCTTTCATTTCATGAAGTGAGCTGATTCGTGTGTGCATAAACACCGTTTCATGAAATCGACAACACACGAAAGTTGACTATTACTATGTTTATGCTAAGGGTTTCATGATTTCTTGAAAGCGTGAAATAAAATTTGCTCCTGTTTATGCGACGCAACCGAATTCATGCATTTTATCAATCTCAGCTGACAGAGATGGACCAATTGAAAAAGGTGTGAGCGATAATTAAACCGAAAATTTTTTTCGATTTGCATTAAATAATCTTGCTAATATTAAAGATAAAGTGTGTGCAAGCCAGTATAAAATTTTTTCTACCATCAAAATAAAGGATAAAAACTAGTTTCCATTGGCACTGAATTAAAAAATAATTTGTTAAAAGTAAGGTGCATTTATGTATTTATATCGATCTGGCAACTCCGATAAATATATAGAGTTACCGGAGTTTAATTGTGACCATTTCACGCTTTCAGGTTGAATTCGATAGGAGAGTTACCCTTCAGTTCTGCAGTAGGGAAAGCTTTTATGTTTTTTTGTGTGCCTAAAACGCTGTGCCGCTGTTGAAGTCAGCAGAGAAGTCGACGCAGCGTAGAAGACCTCTCTTTGTTTGTCTTATATGCACATATGCACTTATTTCTTTTGCGTCTCTCTGTCATGTTCGGCTAGCAACTAATATTCCGGCGGAAAAATTTTCGTGGAGCAGCGACATGTGAATACCCTTATATTTTAGGAGCATTATTGTATATCGAAAAAAAAACTAATATTGTTTTATAAAAGTAAATTATTTGATTAAAGTAAAAATTAGTTACCTACTTACTTATTATACATTTTTATTACAATATAATTTTTTTGTTTTGTTATAGAAATTTAGTCCGTTAAAATTGATTTCAATATTTAAAAAATTTTAGTATAAACATTTTTACAAAATTCATATTGTATATTTTACTCAAGAAGTAACAATTATATAGTCGGATATTTTTCGCTGTACAAAGGGTACAGTGCAGTGGCACACACCAACGCCGAACGAAATCAAGTGAGAAGAAGACTTGGTGCATTCTGTTTAAGTGATTAAAAGGGATGCATCCATTTTAATTGTGCGCAGTACAATGTATGTATTTTATATTCTATATTTTCATAATTAAGAATTCAGCGAAAAAATTTTGAATTTCTCAAGTGATTTCACTTGGGTGTCGTGTCACTTGCAATTGATTTCATAAGTTAAAACTCATTGGAAATATTCTGAATTTCACAAGTAATTTCACGTGGGACGTTACATCGGCACGTGACAGGCCATACGACAAATGAGTATAAGGACCAAGTGAAATTCCGTGGGACTTCGAAAAACATTCATTTGAATTTTCACTTGTGAAAAACTTTACATCCCATACAATTGTCTATATGGAGTATCACTTGTTCTTCACTCGTGCTGGAGGACATGTCCCACGGGATTCACAAGGTGATTCACAGGTGAAACTTTTTTATTGGGAACTGAAGGGAGTTCTCTCGCTTTAAATTTGTGATTTTGTATGCTAACGTTTTGCTTTGTTTGTTCCTGTTTCAAATTGACTGAGGAACTTATAATTTTTATACATATATATTTGATTTTTTTTTAAATATGTAAATATATAACATTTTTATAAAAAGAGTGTCTTTTGTTTTAAAAAAACTATTGCCAACTTGGATTTCACCTAATTTTCTTTACCTACCGCCGGCTCCGCAATACAGACACACCTCTTATGTGTATTCGACCTTTTGGCAGACTTAAGGACTATGCGTCCTGCGTGGAAGTATATGCTGAGGGTTATGAGGGGTAGACAAATGTTTGCTTCATGAAACTTTTTGATAAAGCCTAGTCCTCAGATCAGCAAAGAGTTTCATTAGTCGAAAAATCTTGTTCTTTGTAGTGTGACCGAAGTTTTTAAAGTTCACCCGCAATGCATGTAGCATGGTCTTACCGTCAAGCAGCTGGGTTTGTTGGCAAACGGAGGAGGAGTCTGCTGGTACACAAAGAAATTTAAATAAAAATAAATGGAATGTTCAAAGAATGTTTTCATTTATTTAAATTAATAGTATACAGTTTTTTTTCGTCCCACGGAGGCTTCTCAATTTTTCCCGCGCCATTTCAAGTCCAGCTCCGAGTCACAACATGTATATTGGACTTTGAGGAAGTGGGAGCCGGATTGGGAACGGGGTTGTTCCGCCTGATGCTGCATGAAGTCGCCTAGCATCCTGGTAATGGCTGGTGATGCCTCCTCCAGCTGTCCCTTAGCGGGCGACCTTATTTTCTCCTCCCTATAGAAGCTGTCGCGTTCTCCATCTCTGCTTTTGCTGCCAAGTAACTGGTGGACGTGCGAATTGTCCCCTTTTGTGGTATTGCTGCCTGTCGGTGAATTCCCACAATAAATGGCAACAGCTTGGATTTGGCGTCCTATTTCATCTGCACTGACCTCCTGTATCCGATTTTGGGGGTTTCCTTCCATTTTTAATTTTTAGTTTCCACATCGACTTAGCACGAACACCGCCAAAGATTAAATTTCTTATTCATTGGGCCGCGGCTAACGGCGTTCATCGAAATTCACTCGTTAAATATGGTATTTTTTTGGTATTTCCTTAGCTCATCTGGGTACCGCGCTGAAAAACAGACGCGACAAAAAGCGTTAGCCGCGTATTTGCCTCTCTCTCATTCCTATGGTTAGCTCGCGGTTTTCGTCGATGTGAGTACTGGGCTTAATACATTTTAGTTAACATTTTGTCTTGCATGAATATTTGGGGTGGAACAGTTTAGGGCGGTTTGTGGGCGTTTGGGTGGGAGTGGCATCTTCGCGTAACAAATTTGCACTGCGTACAAGGCTACGGAATCTAAATCTGAAATCCCAATTCTCTATCTTCTATAGTTTCTGAGATATCCGCGTTCATACTTACGATTTTTTGAAGTTTGTGGACGTTAAAGTGGCAAACTTTTTTCTCGATAAATCGATAGGTGTTGAAGGAGACAATACATCTCAGTTAAAATTTTTATTCTAGCATCAAAACTGTAGGAGCCACAGTTTTGGGAGTCTTGTGGGCGTTAGGGTGGGCGTGGCACATTGCTGCAACAAACTTGTGCTGCGTAAGAAGCTCAGGAATCTGCATGCCAAATCCCAATAGCCTAGCTCTTATAGTTTTCGAGATCTCCGCGTACATCCGGACGAACGGACAGACGGACAGGGCTAGATCGACTCGGCTAGTGATCCTGATCAAGAATATAAATACTTTATGGGGTCGGAAACGCTTCCTTCTGCCTGTTACATACTTTCCGACGAATCTAGTATACCCTTTTTCTCTAAGAGTAACGAGTATAATAATTGGAATGTTCAACGAATGTTTTTATTTATGTAAACTAGTAGCTTAAGGCTTTTTTCTCGTCCCGCGGATGCTTCGCCATCTTTCCATCTGCAGTCCAGCTCCGAATTCCAATAGGCATATTATACCTTGAGGAAGTGGGAGCCAGATTGCGAACGGGGCTCTTCCGCCTGATGCTGCATGAAGCCGCGTTTTCCATCTCTGCTTTAGCTGCCAAGTAGCTGGTGGAGGTGGAGTCCGGTGGTTTCTCAATGGAGAGCTCGTCTGAGCTCGAGCGAAGTCCCACTCGACATGTTCCTTCCCACTGGGATTCTCTAGTAGATCTTCTCCAGCACTTGAAATATACCGCGTTTTTGAGTTTTTCCTTCAATTTTTAATTTTGTAAATTTGACATTGCTATTGCACGAACACCATCAAAGATTGAATTTCTTATTCTTCGGGCCGCGGCTGACGGCGTTCTTCTAAATTCACTCGCTAAATCTGGAATTTGTTCTGGTATTTCCTTAGCTCATATGAGTACCGCGCTGAAAAACAGACCCGACGAAAAGCGTTATCCGCGTATTTGCCTCTCGCTCACTCCTATGGATAGCTCACGGTTTTCGTCGATGTGAGTACTAGGCTTTAAGAGTGGAATTGTAGAGCAGAAGACTCTGTGATAGCGGTACCACTCAAGTAACATATGAGTGTTTTCTGGCAGTAATGTTATGATTTGATGCATAAGGCCTTTGATCCAAACTCGGTCAAATGCTTGGGAGACATGGAGGAATATCGCACTACAATACTCACGATTTGTAAAGGCTGTACTAATTTCAGATGCTGAACTCGAATTGATGTGCCGGGATAACATTATGTGCTCCTAGGTATGGTGTTATGGGCGTGTAACTATTTGGAAAGGCGCGATAATACCTGTGCCTGTGCGATGAGGAAATTGTGTGGTCTTTCCCAGGCTTCTGTATAGAATATGACAATAGGTTTTTTAAATTTATTTTGGGAAGTGCCCAAGCTTGTGATCCTGATCCAATGCATAGTTTGGAAGTTCAATTATCATTTTTGGGGTTATAAAGTCCCCTCCTAAAGAGGACTGGTTCCGGTTGCTTTCTAATGACATTTACGATTTCTCGTGTTTGAAAGAAAATCGGCTCTATTGCATTTTCAGTGCAAAGCGACGGTAGATCCAAACAGATTGTGGCGGCGTTTGGCTGAAATACATTTCGTAGGTGTTGAGCAAAGGTTTCTTATCGCTTAAATCGTTTAAATTTGGATGAGCTCTCCACAAGATATGCATAGTTCTGGTCGGCGATAATTTCTCAATGTACCGGCGCTGTGCAAGTTCTTCTTTTTGCTTTAGGGTTTTAGTGAGCATGCGGGTGTCTTCGTTAAAAAGTTTCTTTGAACTCGGCGATCTGCTGGACTTCCAAGCGCGTCGTAGACGTCGTTTTTCCCAAACAAGTTGTTTGATTTGCATGTTAGTTTAGTATTGGTTGCTATACACAGTCGTCTCTTGTGGTGTTGAAGTTTTGGCTAACGCCAAGAGTACGGATTCCGGGGCATCGGCAAGGTAGTAGTATATGTCATTCTTGGTGTTGAGCTGTGGGGTTAGATCAATGTGGGAACTTTCATAATTCTTGTCTTCTTTAGCCAGTTAGGTCTACGCGACGTCAGCCTGTAGGGGTGCTTGATTATTTCTGCGCTTTGAAGAGAAGTTATTAAGACCGGCAAGTGGTCCGATGATAAGTCCATTTAGATTTCACGTGAAGTCGATTTATTGTCACAGCGAAGTCAACTAAGTCCGGAACTTCTCTGGGGTCAGCTGGCCAGTACGATGGGCTGCCAGGGGGAAGTATTCGAGTTTCTTGCACAAGATTATGATTGATTTGTATAGTTGCCTTCCTTTGCGTGTGTTTCGCATTGTAGTCTTCTACTGCTACAAAGCGATCTCCGAGTGAATTGTATAATTTTAAGAATTTCCCTTCCGTTGTTGTATGGCGCGGTGGGCAGTAGACTGTTGCGATAGTAATACTGTCGTTTTCTGATTATAATTTTATAGATGTAGCTTGCGAATAATTTGTTGCAAGCCTCTGGTGAAAGTGGTGTTTGGTGCATTCCCTGACTTAGATTCCGGCTTTACCATTTGGATGATCTGTGCAATACGAAGTGTATCCTCTTAAATGGAAGTTGTATTAACTTGTTAGGTGCTTTTCTGCCAGTAGCATTACGTCTTTGTAATTTTCAACGAGGAAATGAGTTATTTCAAGAATCCGTGAAACGCCTCTGCCTTTCCAATTGGATATTCAAGAGCAAGACATCCATTATTTAGATGGTTGGAATGTTTTGATTTTGCATAAGGTTTTGCAATCTTGCTTTAATGAAGGACATAAAGTCCATCATACTTTTTTGTAAGTTTAACAACACGGGTTCGATATTATTTGGTATTTGTCCTATTGCTTGCTGAGAGGTAAGGCTCAGCGCATCGAGCTTGTGGGATCAACGTCGGATTTTCTAGTCCGGGTTTCAGGCCATTTGCGTATGTCATTCCCCCATTCGTGCTCATGAAGATCTGGCTGCTTTCTCCCGATTTTGATCCTCGTACTTAAATTGGTTTTGTATCTTTAGTGGCCGCTGCAGAGACTGACAAAGCTTCTGAAATCGAGCAATTGGTGACGGTGACCGTTGATATTGTTGTTGCAATTGCTGAAATTGACGAGGTCACTGCGCTCTTGGCTGGTGAGCCATTACTCGCAGCTGGTGGTGGTGTTCTACACGGCAAGCTCCATGAAGTGGGAGTTCGCGTAAGAGGGCGGGAGAACAAGACCACGCTTTTTCACTGTCAGTGTTCAGTAGGGCTGTGTTGCTCCCTAAAGTCGTATTTTATACTTCTATATCAGGGGTTCAGAAATATGAGAGACAACCGTTTCTCTAGCTTTTTGGTCCTTTCGTCGCTCATCGAGCTCAGTATTATTCGTGGAACTTCTTATTTATAATAATTTAACACACTTTCTTAATTCATAGCACTAATAATTGTTTGAACGTGTTATGTCGCCATCCCTCAGTCATCGATTAATCGAGGAAACCAGGGATGCAAAATGGGTTTAGGGTTTCCAGTGATTGGCAACGTGTAAATTGGAGTCAGTTCGGGGGCGAATTCAAATTCAAACCGGACAAATGTAGGTTATAGGGACATTGACCCAGAATGCAGGGAACAGAGGTCCGCAATCTGCATGGGTTGGCGGAAGGAAAATGGCCGACACTAGATCAGTTCAGATTTGGTGTCGGCGGCGCGCAGTCGCAGCGGGTTCGGTGAATTAGCAATCTCCTCAGGCGGTAGTGGTGTTCAAGTGCCCATCAGCGCCTAGACAAGTTCAGCCAAAATTCCGAACGCAGTACCGATAAATAAAAAGGAGTGAGCCCGCCCGTGCAAAGTTTTCGCCGGTCGCCGTCGCCGGAGAACGGTCTCTGAAGCCGGACTGGTCAAGACCCTACGGTGAGTGCGTTCCGGTTAGTGGGGGGAAAAAGAGTCCAATAGGAATCCCATTTCAGGCCAGCGAGAAGAGACGAGGAAGGTAGTGGCCAGGTTCCATTAATTAGGGCCTGGCCAAGTTCTTTCTTGGAGCAACCCCGGTTCTCGGCCGGAGGTTACGTCATCGGCGAGTCCGGCGCCTCCAGCCGCTAGCTACCTGGAGGAACCCGTCGTGCCTGCGAGAAGTCATCCCCGCGCGAATTTTGTTTAAGGAGTTGCGAAGTTTTAAAAAAATAAATTATTTGTAAGTAAAACACGTCAAGCGGGTTTGGTGGGCAAAAATCAACTGAATATTCTTTATTGATAATGTTTTAAAGAAAACTTAATTTAGGTTTTAATTCTTACGAATTATTCTGGTCGACATGTGTAAGATCGTTGGCCTCTAGTTAGCCTGAATTTAATAACGATCGATGAACTATGCATTTCCTGTTTACTGTGTTATGTTGCTTATTTGGATTTTATATTTTCTTAGAACTTATTTTGGTTGGCATGTGCCAGATCGTTAACCTGTGCATTTCCTGTTTGATGTATTACTTTAATATATTGTTTATTTAGCATTTAATGAGTTAAGCAATTCTTGTACTTTATTATTAAGAGGTGGTAAAGAAGAAATTGGGTTTTGGACATATGTGGGAAGTGAAGTGGGGTTATACGTAACTCGCGTGGAGAATTCACTCCAGGAGGGGGCATAATCCTCCCCAGAATTCGGTGGAGGATTTGATTGCGCGTAACAGCACGTGGAATTACGTCACCAACCGGACCTGGAAAAGATTGGCGGCTTAACGCGAAATAACCCTTTTGTCTTTATGTTGTGTTGTCCCTTAATTTATTTAGTTATTTGTTTATTTAATTATTTATATTCTTTTCATATAAAATTTGTTGGGGGAGGTGATCTTATATAACACTTAAAAATTAGCCTATATACATTGCACATAGACCCTACCCATATTGCACTATTATTTATTTATTATATCACAAATTTTAAACTGTTTATTGCCGGATGTGAATAATTCACGGCGAGTGTTTTTATCACATTTGTATCTGTTAGTTTTTGCAATTTATCGCTCCTTCTGGGCGAGGCTTGACATTTAAACCGTCAAAGCCAAGCACTTGTTAATCCCACGGGGAATCCTCTCCAGCGACCGCGTCGAATAGGTTCGTGTGTTATCCTCGGGTCTGGGATCCGCTTAAGAGAGCTCTTTTAGGTAGGGACCGAAATAAAGAAAACAGACCAGTCTACGTAAATCCCTTGTGTGACTGTTGCACCCGGCGGGCGGTGGGCGGTTCCAGCCATAAGACAGCTGTTGCAGCGTGAAGTGTTGTGAAGTACAAACATCTGTTTGTTTATTGTTGCGTGTGTGTGGGCAGGGTTGGAGTACCCACACCCCAAGTGCTCTAGAGCTAGCCGGCGCTGCCCACTCGCGGACACACGTAGTCCTATTTTGGGACATAACAAACGTGAATTATTTATATTTTGATTTAACATCATTTCGTCTTTCTAAGACTACTCCAGTATTTAAAGTTACTTGTTTATAACTATTTTTAGATGTTTTTTCCAGAGCTTGCGCAAAACACTTCTGCTCTTTTAGGCAGTTGGTTTCGTATTTTTTATCTCTTTGAGATAGGGTCAATTCAGTTGTTTTTATATATTTTTTGCATAGCCAACTAAAGGTAGTAATTTTTCAGAATATTCGGTATCTTTAAAATTTTTTGACAAATAATCTATGAGTTGGTTTATTGTCGGAATACAGAACTGTTACCAGTTTATCAGTTCTGTATTCCGACAATAAACCAACTCTAGTCAAGGACAGTAGCAATATAATTGCTATTCTATGCGGGAGAATTGCTTGAAAATTAGTTCCAAATTTGGTATGTGTTAGGGTGGTCCAAAAAAAAATGATATCTTGTTCTCACCCCCATTCATGATTGATTAAAGTGTGCAAAACAAGTACTAAGTAAAAACAATTTTTTGTTAAACAGAATTGCGCTACGTCCCAGAAGTTTTTTTTAAAAATTGTTACTGTGGTGGTGATGTAAATTTGGGTCAAAACTTCGATGTCCATGTTCATCGATGCTTGCAAAATTATATATCGATGTTGAGTGAAACATCGACTAGAAACTTCGATGCATCGATGTTTTCAACCCACTCCGTTATTTTTCGTAAGTTCACTTTGTTGCGGAAGATCAGATCTAAGTTTAAGTGTTAACAGAATCTGCAGCCATACATGTATTTACTATTTTTACTAGAGCTGGAGAAGAATCGATGGTGGGACCATCGATGGTTTTCGATTGTTTTAGAACAACAATAAATAAAAAAAACGCCAAAAATTTCTATTTTGAGATCAAATTCTTTATAAGTCAAAATTATATCTTATTAATAAATAACAACTGGTCTACAGTTTTGGACTTCAGCGCGCATCGACGGTCTGAAATTATTTGTCCTGCCTTACTAAAAGTCTTTTCGGAGGATGCTGGGACGCACAGATATTCTTTAGCGAGGGCCTTGAAGGCTTGAAAATAATCATTGGTCATCTGAAAAAGACTTTTTTGGTTAATCTGTACAAATAGTTATACATGTCTAGCACTAACCTTCCAGTGTAGTAAAGGGTCCTTGCTTTCATCATCGTTTTTTTGCTCAAAGTACTGCCGCATTTGTATTATTGAGTCTGCCCTGTGTGATGTAACTTTATTAGACAGTTTACCTTGCAGGTAAGGATAAAAGCTTGGTTGTGGTGGTGCTGGAGCTGTGAACCTAGCATTCGAATTCATAGACAATATTTCGTAGAGCTTCAACTCCAAACCCTTAGCAGCTTGTTTAGCATTCGATGATAGAAAAAAGCCTTCCTTTTTGAAGCGCGGATCTAGTAGTGTCGCAATTCTAGGGACAGTTCGTGATTCATAATGATAAAATCGTTCTTTGATACGAATTTTGATCAAGTCATGAGCATCCTGAGCCGCTTTCGAAGAGCACTTTATTAAATTCATTTTTTGATACAACTCGGCAATTATTGGTATAATTAGTGATACAGTGACAGTTTTATCCGCTGAGGCTTGTTTGCTTGCATCATTAAACGGTGACATTATTGCGCACAGTCTCAAAATCTCAATTTCTTCAATTAAAAATGGCTGTGGGGCCTTTGCTGTGTTTACCAAAACGCATTTACTTACTTTTGAGAAACTTGTCCATAATCCATTCCAGGGCACTGCCAGCACCAACACCACCACTTTTAAGCTAATAAACAATATAAAAATAAGTTAACTGTGTAATCAATTTTACTTTTTTATGTACTTACATATTAATTCACTTGTTCGCTTGCCAACTCCCGCTAAAAAAGTGATAGGCAAAAAAAAAGAAAAACCATCGATAGTGAGAAAAAACAATCGCCTTTCGCGAAATTTTGAGACAATCGATACTATCGATGTTTCCATCGATTGTTCTCCAGCTCTAATTTTTACGCGCTTCGGTATTTATGTAAACGAGAGAAGCTCTAACGCGTTCGCTTCAGTTTCTCGTGTGTATCACTCTCTCTCTTGCCTTCTACGATTCTACGCGAAACGAATCTTGAGTAAGAAACAATTGAAGTCAGCAAATAAACCTTACAACGTTTAAAAAACGACGCAATTATTACTATTTGAGCTGGGCTTGGAGACCATAAATTTAAGGATGCGTATGACCGAAACATTTGGCGACTGTGAAAGGACCCAGACAAATAGTAAGGTTCGCGTGGCTGCTTACAGGTTTTAATTATATTTCATAAATGCCGGGGACCAATTCGACATTGACCAGCCTGCCACCGCAACATATTCAGTGTGATCGTCTTTGAAGTCATCATCAAGGTACTCACTGGATTTCTGCAAATCATAGGCGCAACATCGTCAGTGGATCGGAAAGGTGCTGGTCACAATCTCTTGAAAATTTTCTACGACCAAGACGATTCCCTCCCTCTACCCGACCAGTGAGATTTGTCGACAAATAGGAGGGTGGTCCGATAAGTACTTAGCCTCCAAAATAAAAGAGAAAATTTTGGAAAAGTAGCGATTTATTTCTCAACATAATCTCCTTTTAGCTCGATACACTTGACCCAGCGATGCTCCAACTTCTTTAACCCGTCTGAAAAATACGTTTTCTCGAGGTCTGCAAAATAAGCCTCTGTGGCGGCGACGACCTCCTCATTCGACGCAAATTTCTATCCAGCGAGTGACTTTTTCAAGTTTGGAAACAAAAAGAAGTCACACGGGGCCAAATCTGGAGAATATGGTGGATGAGGTAGCAGTTCGTAGCCCAATTCGACCAATTTGGCCTTGGTGAGGGCGGAAGTGCGAGCCGGTGCGTTGTCATGATGGAAGAGCACTGTGCACTGGGACAATTCTACAATTCGGCGGCGAATCGGCCCAATAATTCGGCATAGTACAGCCCCGTGACCGTTTTGCCCTTCTCCAGGTAGTCCCTTCCAAAAACAAGAATCGAATCACAGACCGACATTGCTCTTTCTCCATTTTTCTAAAATCCGCGGACACTTCCGATTCCACACGCAGTCACAACAAAACTACGTGTCCGATTCGGCTGAAATTTCGACAGTAGCCGTCTACGAGAATGTACTACACGATAGTAAATTTCTCTTGCGATAGTGACGCCATCGGGCGGTGAGGCTAAGTACTTATCGGACTGCCCTCGTACATACAAGCATACATTTTTTGCTGATAGTGTGATCACTTTGCTGAAGGTGGTAAATTACGGACATAAACAAGCCGTTGCTTTGCACATACCAACATCTGCTGATTCTGTGTCTGCTTTTTGCTCAAAAACATATCGCCGGGCTGCACACGTGGTACAGTTTCGCCTTGAGGTTAGCTTTTCGTTTCTTCATTGAACATGACGAAAGATTCGGCAGCAGAGGCACTTGAAGCAAAATTGACTCCCTTCCACTACAGTACTCAAAAATATAAGCCAACATCGAAAACTTATATGCCAGAGTGGACAGGGAGTCCGATGCAACTCGTTCGCTTAAGTTTCTCGTGTGTATTACTCTCTCTCTTGTCTTCTACGATTCTACGCGAAACGAATCTGGAAGAAGAAACAATTGAAGTCAGCAAATAAACCTGAAACGTTTAAAAAACGTTAGAGAACATAAATTTAAAGCTGCGTATGACCGCAACACAAGCCTTTAAAATTTGTTGTTGAGATTTTTTGATAAATTAAATAAGAAGGAAACAAGACTTCAAAAATAAATGCATTCATAGTTTTTCCTTTTTTTTTTCATTGAGTGGCTTAGTTAACAATATAAAAAACAGAACTAAGAACTATATCAATTCGTGATTTTTGCGTAGTCCTGTGGTCAGTAAATTCATAATTAAGTAATATAACAATAATTGCTTTCTTAGCAGTCTATTTCATTACATTGAGAATCAAAAACAATAAAATGATAATATAACAATAAATACTTTCTTTGAAGTCTTTTTGTTATGCTTGTAAGGAAATCTTAATTATTAAAAATACTTTTCTCAAAACAAAATCCGCGAGTTTGTCAGTGTGGCACTGAAACCATATGTTGTGCAATGTTGTGAATTTCGACGCCCGATGTTTTGTCAAACATCGAAGCATCGTTAAGCATCGGTATGACACAAATCATCGGAAAACATTAAAAAACATCGCACAAAAATGATCGATGCATCGATGTTTTTTTACATCACTTTACTGTGGGCAAAATGTGATGTGAATTTGGGGGTCAAGCAGTGGCGATCCTTCCGTGTGGCAGCACTATGAGTTGCTTCACTCGTTTTTAGGCGCATACCACATCCACAACTTGGATCAGAATACCTTGAAAACCGAGAGTATGTCTCACTCTTATATTTGTGGCTTAAAATGATCTAATAAAATGTATTTATTGCAGATACTAGGGAATACTTTGTGGAGCTATTGGATGTAGACCCCGATGACAGGGAAGCTTCTATCTGCAGCGGCAGTCAACGCTCAGGTAGCATTGTGCCCCCTGATAAGCGCGCAAATGTGGACCACAAGTCGAAGCTTGTGGAAACAGCTCGAGAAAGGCTGGAGGAGCAGCAAGCGCAGACAGAAATAATGTCGAGAATGTCTAAATGTTGCTGTTGAGAAAATCAACGAATTCCTTAATTTTGCAATAAATAGGTAAATTTAAAAAATAAAATGAGATGTGATGTTATAATTAAATATGAAACAAACATATTTATTTGTTACCATTTAAACAATATTGGGAAATAGCTCCTCTTATTTTTTCAGCAGGCTGGCTAAAGTCTGCAGACATATTTGTCCGATTTGGTTGTTCGCGTAGGTCACTTGCAGCCCGTTGCCATGTTTGTTGTGCTAATTTAAAATGTTGCTGGAATAACTGCATTATTATTCTTGTAGTCTTTCCCAATGAACCGAAATCTTGCCTTTAAATGGCCAAATGTATTTTCTACTCGCCTAGCTTTGGACAGATTTTAGTCAAAATTTCGCTGTTCTTCGGATGCAGATGTGGAAAATGGGTACGGCTTCATCAGCGTTGGGGAGAATTGAAAGGCAGAGTCCCCAATAAGCATAAGAATAAGAATAAGCTGAAGAATCGGATAAGACACCATTTTCCTTGCCAGGCTGGACTTTTAAAATATAGTGGAGTCTTTGCAGCGCCCAGCAGAGCCGATGTTTACATAGGTAAATCTGTAGTAAATTTAGAATACAACGCATTTAGAAGATGTAATGCACGGTACCACCCTTGGTAGTTGTGGTTCGACTGCTTCTGCTGCTGACTGTCTTATTTCGATGTGACAACCATCTACACGTTGTACGTTGATAAGACCATGAACTGATTTAAAACATTTATGTCTTACCAATTGCACCTAGACACTGGGGAAGTCCAATTGCTTCGAATCATTTGACTCACTCGTCCGCATTTTCTGAAGTAAGATAGTCCGGTGACATGAACTCGCTGGCAAACCATAGAGTAAGAATCTACACCACTTGCTCTGCCCGAACCTCTGCCCAACCTGTGCTGAGAGCCAATTCAAGGTTAGGTTTGAAGCTAACTTCGATTTTTCGAAACACCCAACAAGTGCAAAGCAATAGAAATAGTGGTGAGGTTCAATTACAAAAACAAAACAGTGAGTAAGAGCACTGCAGATATATAATTTCCCATAAAACTCACCGCGGGAACGAAATACGAGGGAAATTATCGTTTATCGCCTGTGTGGCATCATTGGCAAAGTCTAACAAAGTGAGCGGCAGAGCAAATGGTGTCTCTATATAGATTCGTACTCTATGGGCAAACACACAGTGTTCTGTGCAACTACAAAAAGCCTTCCGATGGAACGATGTTCCGCAGATGATCCCAAGGTGTACAAGGCTATAGCGATCCGCTTTTCAAGAGGAATGGCATTTTGCCATGGACACAAGTCCATCTTCCCCAAAACACCTGTCTGTCCACCAAAAACGTGGATTTTCAGTATATCCTATTCCCAAATAGGTCCCGTATCGCTTCTGCTTAATATAAATCGCATTCTTTAATAGTGTTTATACGTACAGTAAAAGGGTATACAAGATTCGTCGGAAAGTATGTAACAGGCAGAAGGAAGCGTTTCCGACCCCATAAAGTATGTATATTCTTGATCAGGATCACTAGCCGAGACGATCTAGCCATGTCCGTCTCTCCGTCTGTCCGTATAAACGCTGAGATCTCGGAAACTATACAAGCTACAATACTGGGATAAGGCATGCAGATTCCTGAGATTCCTGCGCAGTGCAAGTTTTTTTTCAGCAGAGTGCCACGCCCATTCTAACGCCCACAAACCGCCCAAAACTGTGGCTCCTACAGTTGTGATGCTAGAATAAAAATGTTAACCAAAATATATTGTTCTAGTCAATACCTATCGATTGATACCCACAAACCGCCCATAAACTTCAAAAAATCGTAGATATGAACGTGGATATCTCGGAAACTATCAAAGATAGAGAATTGGGATCTCAGATTTAGATTCCGTAGCCTTGCACGCATCGCAAGTTTGTTACGCGAATATGCCACGCCCACTCTAACGCCCACAAACCGACCAAGCCAAGTATCGTCAATACCTATCGATTGACTTAAAAAAATTTTGCCACGCCCACTCTAACGCCCATAACGCTTAAATCTGTCTACCGCCGGTAGGTGGCGCATTTCAATCTCGCTTTGCTGCTTGAATATCTCCATTTCCCTTTGGTTCCTTTAGCTGAGTAACGGGTATCTGATAGTCGAGGTACTCGACTAAAGCGTTCTTCCTTGTTTTAATATAATTTAAGAGCACGTACCAGCATCCACATACTTCGTGGCATTTGCTCTTCTGCAGAAAAAATGCTTTCGTACAAGTCCAATTCGTCGTCATTCCACTCCTCTGAATTGGCTGTCAATAAAAGCTGATTCAACTTTAGATTTTTCTGTTGTAATTCAGCCAAAATAATTGGAAAATTGTTCATTTTGGTCTGGCAAAATCCACTTTAACCATTTTTGCTTAGCCACAGCTATTCAGATCAGCTGTTATCGGATGGTAGATGGTGGATGTGCCCTGTGGGAATTAGAGTTTAACATTTGTCAAAAATCCCAACCCTTTCAAACGGATGTTCTCTTGGGAAGGGGGTATAACTATCTCAAAAAGAGTCCGTCAAATTTGGATGGGGAACTAATAGCGTCGTTCCACGGATATCCATGCACCATCTACCATCCGTTGAACGGATATTCCATAATGTTTTGCCGTAGATGGTGGATGGATCTCTGTGGGAAGAGTGTGTTAAGGCAGCAAACTTGAGTCATTGCAGAGCGAGTGTATCTCGAAAACAAAAAAACCGGTACTCCAAATATATCTTGAATAAAAATACTGAAATAATGCAAACAGCTCCCACTTTCCACTAAAGCGAAGTTGTTTGACTTTCCCCATTTCTTTCCCATGAAAGAAAAAATCGCTGAAGAGGAATTTTGTCACTGAATCAGAAGCCCCCTTATCCTCAATACCCTATTAAGCAAAGAGTGCAGTATATCTGGTTCCTTTTTTTTTTTAATTTTCCCACGAATTTAGTGTAGGAAAATATGTAAGGTATTTTGTTAAAGTCTCAATATATGAATTATAGGCAATTTTTCATCAAAAGACCAAAGCAACCGATATCTGGATTTTTTATATTGGATGCAAAACTTGGCATGGCAAATAATTTTATAAATGAAATAGGTATTAAACTATTGTCCAATGGTATTTTATAAAATAAGATCATGAACAACAAATCCCCCCGTTAGTAGTCAGTTGTTTCAATGGGAACATAAGATTTACTATTATCAAAAGTACCAACTTTTCACACTGATGTACTTGTGGAAAAATGCTGTTAGTTAACCGCTTAGAGTACTCGATATAAAAAATGCAACACTTAGTGATTACTTCGTAAACCGGAAATTCAGGTGGAATTTTCCTTTCCTTCTGTGGTTTAAAACGAGCAGCTAGCAATATTTTCGGCTTCTGAATTTTTATTGTGAATCAATGTAAGTCTTGGTAATAAAACAAAAATGCTGGTAAATGTTCATATATTTTATTACTTAGATGCCGCGGGAAATTAAAGAAGTCAAAGACTTTTTGAATAAAGCTCGTCGCTCAGATGCTCGTGCTGTTAAAATCAAGAAGAATGCGTCAAACACCAAATTTAAGATCCGTTGCTCCAGGTTTCTCTATACCCTTGTAGTGCAGGATAAAGAAAAAGCTGACAAAATAAAACAGTCTCTTCCACCAGGACTTCAAGTAAAGGAAGTCAAGTAGACAACCACACAAAACACCATTTGTACGTCAAAGAAATAAATTGGTTCGCTGATATTTGTTTTTAATAAATAAAACTAACTAATGTCACCAATGTAAAGTTTATAAATGTTTAACTATAACTTACAGATCTGTTCAAATTAAAATCAACGATAGTGAAGTCGGATGATAATTTAATTCGAGCGACAAATTGACGGTTATTAATTCTTTTATTAATTCAACAAGCAAAATTAATTAAATCATCCAATCATTTTCATTCAAAAAATACTTGCAGTGCCGAACTTTAGTGCTGGCACTTAGCATCTTGAACTTCAAGGGCTTTTTTCTACCTCTTTAAATGTGTTAGAAAATTCAACAAACTTTTTGTATGAAGGGGTTTTTAACAATCAAATTAATTTTGTTTCATTGAAATATCTCTTTAAAACTACATTATTAAAATTTTTAAACCAAAAAAAAACAGATTTTGCCGAACGAGTCTTGGCACACTTGTGTTATTAATAACTATTTCGTTGAAACTTAACCGATTTGGTTGCTTAATTTTTGACAAAATCCGCTTTGTCTCTGTGTTTTAGGTGATATAATGCTAAATTAGTGTCATAAAATCGTTTTAGTACTTTTAATTACACGAGAAATGGTTATACAGTGGCGGACAAAAGTATACGAACGACCCCCTTTTTTGGAGTTTACCCACTCCTATAGCTTTTACAGAAAAAGTAATGATGCATATTTGTTTTAAATGGTATTAATATACAAAAACCGAAATGTTATTTTTTTATTCATAAGCAACTTTTAAAGTTACAAACTAAAAACTTAAAAAAGGCACTGACAAAAGTGTACGTACGATTACTTTTTTGGCACTTATATGATATATTATTGATTTAAGAAACAAAGTTAATATTTGGTTGAACCACCATGGGCATCAATAACTGCCTGTAATCGTTTGGGCATTGAAGCAGCCAAATTTCCCAGCTCTTCACTTGTTATTTTGGCCCACTCCTCTTGGAGCCCCTTTTTAAGCATGGGAGCACTACTTATGGAGTGTTTTCTAATTTTTCGTTCCAATATTTCCCATACGTGCTCTATAATATTTAAATCCGGACTTTGTGGTGGTGAATGTAATTGGCGGGGAGCTAACAGAACAGCCAATCCTTTACGATTTTCGCCGTGTGCTTAGGATCGTTATCCTCTTGAAATATCCAACTCGCACCGAGGCTTAATTTGTCCACAGAGGCTTTCAAATTATTTTCAAATATGCTCTTATACTGAAAGCGATCCATAATACCCTCGACAAAGACAAAATTTCCAACTCCCGAGGCTGCAACTGCTCCCCACACCATGACACTTCCACCACCGGTCGCCGGTTTACGGTCGGAATAAGATGCTTGGAATCCATGGCTATATTGGGTTTCCTCCAAACGTTTGCTTTTCCATCGTATCCAAATATATTATATTTGGACACATCAGTAAATAAAACCTTTTACCAGAACTCTATATCTTTGTTTAGATGCTTCTTAGCGAGTTCCAAACGAAGTGCAATTTCTTCGATTCTTGTAAATTTTTACAAATTGTATGCACCATCGATTTTCTAAAATTTAACAATTTATCTATTTCGGCGAAAGATATATTTTCTTTCATATGTTTTACAACTCATTTTCGCACAGGAAGAGAAATTTCCTTTCGGGGAGACATTATCGCGAAATTATCGTTCTTTAAGTGATGAAATGAAATAAGACTAACGCCAAATACTAAGCAAAGCATTAAACAAAACTAAACGGTACTTTGCCGTTAGGTTTTAGCTGGAAAAATCAGGAGAAACAGCTGTCCAACAAATCGTAAGTACACTTTTGTCTATACCTTTTTTAAGTTTTTAGTTTGAAACTTTAAAAGTTGTTTATGTATAAAGATAACATTTTGGTTTTGGTATATTAATACCATTTAAAACCAAACTGCATTATTACTTTTCCTGTAAGAGAAATAGGAGTGGGTTAACTCCAAAAAAGGGGGTCGTTCGTAGACTTTGGTCTGCCACTGTATATTAACACATAAAAAACAAGGAAGAACGCTATAGTCGAGTACCTCGACTATCAGATACCCGTTACTCAGCTAAATAGAGATATGCAAGTAGCAAAGCGAGATTAAAATGCGCCACCTACCGGCGGAATACAGATTTAAGCGTTATGGGCGTTAGAGTGGGCGTGGCAAATTTTTGCTTTGGACCAATCGATAGGTATTGACGAGACCAATACATTTCAGCTAAAATTTTTTATCTAGCATAATCTAATCTAGCATAAAATTGTGGGCGTCACAGATTTTCGCGGTTTGTGGGCGTTAGAGTGGGCGTGGCATATTCGCGTAACAAACTTGCGCTGGGTATAAGGCTACGGAATCTAAATCTGAAATCCCAATTCTGTATCTTTGATAGTTTCCGAGATATCCACGTTCATATTTACGATTTTTTGAAGTTTGTGGGCGGCTTATGGGCGTTAGGGTGGGCGTGGCAAACTTTTTTTGGGTCAATCGATAGGTATTGATAATAAAAAACTGTAGGAGCCACAGTTTTGGGCGGTTTGTGGGCGTTAGAGTGGGCGTGGCACTCTACTGAAACAAACTTGCGCTGCGTAAGAAGCTCAGGAATCTGCACGCCAAATCTCAATAGCCTAGCTCCCATAGTTTCCGAGATCTCAGCGTTCATCCGGACAGACAGACGGACATGGCTAGATCGACTCGGCTAGTGATCCTGATCAAGAATATATATACTTTATGGGGTCGGAAACGCTTCCTTCTGCCTGTTACATACTTTACGACGAATCTAGTATACCCTTTTACTCTACGAGTAACGGGTATAATTAATACCCTTATCTCTGTGAAAAATAATATTTGATTTTCAGGATCAGCTTCAAAAAAATTTCACTTAGCATTTAATATAGTTATAAAAAACACATGTTAGCCAAGACTTGTTCGGAAAAATCAGCTTTTTTTTTGGTTTCTAAATTTTTAAAATTTAGTTTTAGAAGATAATTTAGTGAAGCAAAATTAATTTTATTGTCAAATATTCCAATTATCCAAAATAATTTTTTTGGATTGTATAACACATTTATAGAGGTAGAACAGCGCACATCAAGATGCTATGTAGGTGTGCCAAAACTAAAGTTCGGCACTGTAGATGTTAAGCGGGCATAGGGAATACATACACTTGCCAGAAAGAGTATGCGCACAAACGGTTCATAATTTTCGAGCTAAAAAAATGTTTTTAAAAAAATCTTCAAAATTGATTTATTTTGGAGCAAATAGTAGATTAACAGTAGATTAATAATAATAGTAGATTAACAAAGCTTTAATTTGCTGTGACTCATTAACTTCTAGCTCTTAAACTTTTAATGATATACAAAAATAAATGTGAAAAATTACCCATTAAGTTCCCATCAGAAAAAAGGCATATATCATAAGAAAAAATGCGTGTTTTGGGCAAAGTACGTAGAATTTAGTACATAGTCTACCCTTTACGTTTAATAAATTCAGTCAATCTATTTTCCCTTCATCTTCGACTGTTATTTGATTCCATTCCCTTACAAATACTTCAGCATATCCTTTGATGAGATGGTGTCAAGGCGGATCCTGCGCTTAAGGACATCCCGCAAATGTTTAATGGCTCTAAATTCGAAGTAATTTGCCTAAAAATCGTTATTTCGTAGAACTTCACACAGGAAATCACTTGTGAAATTCAGAATGTGTCCGATGAGATGCCACCTGTGAAAGCAGAGCATATTTCCTTCGTCTTTTCCCAAAAAACACGATTAAAATTGACTAAAGTACGTCAAGTTAGATCAATGCAAAACATGTAAAACTTAAAAAAACACTTACCTGACTTTATTATGATCAATAAATATCACCCTTTCAATATCTCAAAAAGAAACTTGATTTAATTTGTTTTGTCTTCGCTGTTGGCACGTGCTCCTCCTTTTTAAAGCGAAGTAAGTAAGTAAAAAAACAATACTTTTTTTTTTAATGTTAATATTATAATGTTTGAAATATTTAAACAAATTTCTATAGCTAAACTAAAAATTAAATGTTACTTATATAAGTAATGTATGTATAAACATAAACATAACATTATAAGTAAATTCAAATTTCTTCATTTTACTTTGATCATATAATTTAATTTATGTATCAATGTTATTTGTTTTATTTCGAAATACAATAGTGCTCCTAAGATGTTAGGGCATACACATGTCGTTCCGCTACAAAGCTAGCGGATAGACGCAAAAAAAATTAAATGAACAGCCAAAATTTGTCTGTGCGAGCGCAGAGTGTCGCAGATTATAAGACAAAGAAAGAGGGAAATCTACAATTATCTGCCTCTCCTTCTTGCCCGACCTTTTTATCGTCGGCAGTCTTCTACGGTGTGCCGATTCTTCTGCTGACTTTTGACATGTCAATACGTTCGAGATGGCAAGCTTGCTCAAGCACGTTAACGAACTAAAAGTCAAACGATTAGGCAGCCGATTACCAACTAAATACATACATATATCCATGCACATTGTGTAAAGCAATTCTTTGTACAAAATAAAATCAAAAACTTCATTTGATTGCACACCCTAAAATAGATCAAAAATAACTACTAAATGACACTCCATATAGACTTTTGTACGGGAAATCCGCTTCTTCACTCGTGACAGCTAATATGAAATTTTTTGAAAGAGAGTCCTGATTTCATGCATGTATTCACTACACAGGAAATTACTTGTGAAATTCATATTATGTGTCACCTATGAAAGTAGAGAGTATTTCCTTCATTGTGTCACCTGTGATATCGGTGAACTCATGTATGACATTTTTGAAAATCATTAATACTAAAAGATTTTTAAAAAATTTTTATAAATTAAAGTACATACCTATTTTTTATTTTTTTATTCAATTCGGCTAACGATAACAGAATTTTTTAGGTTATTTTGTTAAACCCAAAAACACTTAAAATTGATGTACTTCAATGCAAAACATGTTAAGCATGTCTTTATTATGGTCGATAAATATGTTTTTATCAACGAACTAATAGGTTTCGGTACGCACAGTTTAAATTGTCTGCTTCCTTTTCAATAGCTC